CTCTCTCTTCTTCTTCTTCTTCTTCTTCTTCTTCTTCTTCTTCTTCTTCTTCTTCTTCTTCTTCTTCTTCTTCTTCTTCTTCTTCTTCTTCTTCTTCTTCTTCTTCTTCTTCCATGTTATGAATCCATCAGTGTTTGTTGCATCAGTGGAACTGTTTAAGATCAGTACTGCTTAATACCATACTGCTGAATGGACATCGCTTCTTCTAGAGCGGTGGGCTTGTGGTGGTTCTGAATCTGTACCAGAACTTGGCAATATTTCTCATTTCCTGTTAATTTAGAAGAGGCGTTATGTACATATTTGCTAAGACTATACAGCAGAGGAATCTTGGCTTTGTGGTTCAGAGGTGCCTGTTTTGTTAATGAAAAGAAGAACTAAAAAAAAAAAAAAGAAATTAGGGACCAAGTTATGAGATGTTGTACAGAACTGGTTTTCTACGATACCTGGATTTGAAAGGCTGGGGAGGGAAACATTTTGCAATTTCGCTGTTTGGGTGATTTTTTAAAAACAGATTCCCAGCACATTAACTGCACAGACACAGAAGCAGACTCGTTAGGAGTATTCCCTAAAGGGCACAGGGCAAATTGGGTCCTAATCTGTACCCTGAGTGGGACATGGACTGAATGGGGCGGGGGGGGGGGCCTGTGTACAGCTCTAATTCCAGCCCTCTAGGTCTAGGCTACATTTTTTCATTGGTTAAAGTTTCTGTGCCATTCTCAAAGGAAGACTCACAGAAGTAGCAGTGTGGTTTGGTGTTAATGAAAAGAAGACCTAAAAAAAAAAATTAGGGACCAAGTTATGAGATGTTGTACAGAACTGGTTTTCTACGATACCTGGATTTGAAAGGCTGGGGGGGGGAACTACTCACAGAAGTAGCAGTGTGGTTTGGATGTAGCCAGTACATGATTAACCAAGCATGAATAATCACTTTCTTTGAGTTTCATCTGTTATGGTAGCTTAACAACCCCTATATAAATTTCTACTGTATTGTGTTGTGCTTTGTGTGGAATCTTTGGCAGCAGGATAATTTTGTAGTAATTTGCTATTTTACATATCATTACTATTACAAGGATGTGTGAAATTTCCATATTGACTACTGTATATACTTTGCATCCTTGGTTTAGGATAGATTTTTCAACACTCTTCAAATGGAGAAGTGCAAAGCTGCTAATTACAAGTGCACAATCAGAGCAGTAATGTGGAAAGGTTAAGCACACCCTTTATTTCAGTGTAAAACAGTATACCTTTATAAATAATTTAAATTTAATCTCTGTGTGAGAGAGTTTTGTAAAGTAATGTGCATAAGGCCATGTTGAAAAGTGTTTGCCTTTGATGGATACTGTGTCTGCATTGTTTATTTTAGTGGAGTATAACTACTATTTAAAAAATATTTGTAAATATATTTTGCTAATCTAAAGGTGCAGAGTTGTGTGGGTTTGGATTACACTTCTTAGAAATCTCCAGGTTAATTCTGAGAGTTGCAATCTAAAAACACCTCTAGTTGAAACAGGTTTCAGTACTAAAATGTGCCATCGTTTTACCTTTTCAGAGTTTTCCAGGTAGACAAGACTCAGAAGTGTCTTACCACTCCCTTCCTCTGGGGGCACCCTGGCACTTCCCCAAATTTACCTACTTGATAATATGCAGTGTTTATTTAATTGCACACTCCTACTAAAATTAAGGTGGCAGGAGAAAAGAGGATCACAATACGAATGTGGGAAATAGTAGATTTTATCCAATAAAGCCCACATGCTCTGTGTTCAAGCAGTTTCTGTTAGTGAAATGCAGAATGATGATTCCTCTCCTCTTCCCTCCTGCCCCAGCATGCTTTCAATATCTGCTTTGGAGGGTTGGCAGACTCCCTGGTGAAGATAGAGAGAGATAAGGTTCTGTGAGGGGAGAAGAGGAAGAAAAGTCAGCTTATGTGACATTCATTTATTAGAACGAGTCTCACATATTTCAGTCAGATTCATGATAAGTAACAGCATGGTTATATAACAGTCATTTCCAAGTTCTGGTGACGCTTTCCAGAGATTCCCAGGTAGAGAATACTCAGAGGTGGTTTACCATTCCTTTCTTCCGGAGGCACTCTGGTCTGGGCCACCTGTCCAAGAGCACAACGTCTGGCTCTTCTCCGTGGAGACACAGTGAGGAGCTGCATTCCCTATCTCTCGCTCTGTAGCCAGGTACCCAACTCACTGAGCTACCCAATCAGTTTCTAAGCAGGAGCTTCAATATTCTCATTGTCATCTCCTTGGAGGATGATGCCCTTTTATACTTTATGGTTAACACTGAAGCATGAATCCAGTTTACAATGGCAAGAAAAGAAAACAACCACTGTGGGGTGGGGCAAGAGAATGGGTTAGTCAATAACAAAAGTCATTAATAAAATATCCCTTGTGGTGCAGCAGAAGACTGTAATTCCATCTCAGATCTCCAGTTACGTTATTGGATTCTAACGTCTCACCTCTCGTCGTTTACATTCTTACCAGGTCTTTCCACAGAAGCTGGGCCTCAGTCTTGCAGGAGCTGCCTGTTGTGCACAATGCATAGACTAAGATCCAGAGGATAGTAGCATATCTTCCTGACACAAACTTCTGTTTCTTAAAAGCTCACGCCCTTGGGCCTTGGAGCAAGCCATCTGTGTTGCTCAGGGATATCTTTTTGAAATAGCATGGGAAGGAGTGTGGGGTTGCTTCTGAGGGGGATGGAAGTCATCTTAATTTCTAGCAGAAAGAGCTCTTTGGAATCTGGGTATAAATAATATTCAAATGTGCTTTACCACCAAATATTTTATGAACCATGTTAATATATTCTGTACATTAGAAATCACACAATGACATATAGTATTTTAAGCAACTGTCTCATTAGCTATTAAAGTTATAGCAGAATCTAGTACATGTCTTCTTAAAAGTAAACTAAATGGTGCTTCCTCCTAAATAAAGTGATATAGAGCTGTGTCTTTACATTACTAATCAATGTTTGTAGTCAGACGTTTCCTTTACTGGGTGCAGTGTACTATAAATATGCAAATTTTAATCTCTATATCTTGTAACGTGGACAGTTATAGCTAGAGCTGTCTCCTCATCTATAATTTAGATCAGCTTGAATTTATGGACAAGATACATACATATTATGTGTACCACAGACTTATTGACCAGTATCCTTTTGCTAGTGCTGACTAGAGTAGACACACTGACTCAGTGGGATTTACAGAAATATTGACTTAACCATTCAGTCGTTGATTTAGTAGTTTTACTGTGTGGCTGAGAGAAACAATAGAATATTGTTCATTCACTGTTTATACGCTCAAAATATTTTGAGCAGTGTTGGCCACCATATGGTAGGAAAGTAGAATGAAAATCTTCTTATAAATATAATTGTAAAACTGACTGCCATAGAGACTTATGAAAAATATTGCTTGCCAGGGTTGTTCAGAATTTTCAGTAAGCAGTCCTTAGCCCTTTCTCACAAAATTACAGTTCCCAAACCAGTAACAGTTTTTAAATTCAATCCATTCACTTTAATAAAATTACCATGTGGGCAAGACTCAAGCAGAAACATTACACATTATTAAAGAGTTCTTTATTACTTTTTGGAAGTCTAGTACTGTACATCTTTTCATTAGCTTGTGTGATGCATATGATAAATAAAAAATGAATTTAATCTGAAAGGATGTGAAAGCAATTTTAAAAAAGCGAGACACATTTTGCATGAACATTGTTGGTCAGTACAACTCATTTGGAAAAGCTAAACCAGGACACTGGATCTCAGGACAAATAAGCTTGGGTCAGAATAGAATAAGTGAGATCTGTCAAGTCAAGGCTTAAAGAACATGGATCTCTTCTAACTGGGGCTAGCAATTGGATTTAGACCTTTATCTCCATTTGTGCTTTTAAGTTTTATCAAGTGTGTTTGTGAAAAACTACTATATGTTTTCTTAGAGCCAATTATTTGGATTTTTTTCAGATCCAAGGAACACCATTTGGAAACTATTTATCCTTCAGTGATGGCCCCACAGACAACAGCTCTGGGATTCCTTTCTTTTATGTGACTCCGAAGGACAACACAGTAGTAGATCTGATGAAAAATCCCACTGCTTCACTGACATTGCTAGAGGTGGAAGGAGACTTCTGCAGGTACAATAACCATGGAAATATCTGGTTTGCTATATTATACACATGCAGTTCTCTCCCTCGCTTGCTTATATAATTCCTAATGGCATTGGGGTCCTTTCCAAATTATCATTACAGCCCAAGGAATGTACTGGTGTCATTCATTTGCTGTGGGACATGCATGGTCACCCCCATCTCCTTTAGCAGCACAGACTCATTTTGTAAAGACAGGGCCAACTGGTCTGGTACATTTTGCTGGCTGAAGCAAAGTACAAGGTGGCACCTTGCCCTGTTCCATGGACAGAAGGAAGCCAATTAGATTGCTTTTTGAATATTACTGTAACATAGTGGTGATGAGATAGGTTCCTCCTGAACAGTGAAGACCCTCAGGCTTGCTTAGAGAGTGCAAGAGTGGTCGAAATGACTAGATAGGCGGGGTATAAATACAATAAAATAAATAAATAAATAAATAAATAAATAAATAAATAAATAAGATTAGGCCGTGTAGACTCCTCTTATCTCTTATGGGAGCATGGGTTCTTGTACTGGGAATGCCTCCAGTATAACATGGCAAAATCAGAACTCAGAAGATTATTTTTTTAAAGTACAATTCCCCAATCCCCCATCGAGACTTCCAGGTAAGGCAGTTCTAGTCTATATACCCATACCTTCACACACCTGTAGTTCTCTTACCTGGAGCAAGGCCTAGTTCAGAGGCTACATTTTAGGCCTTCTTTCCTGCCCTAATGCCTCCTGGGAGAAGACTGCCACAGAGCTTCCTAGGTGTCACATAGTGCTTTAGGAGGTACCCTCTATAGACCCGAAAGGCAGAGAGATTGTGACCCAAGGAAGCATTGTGGCAGGAAATGAGACCAAGAAAGCTGCTTCTGAGATAGGCCCTGCTGCCCATGAGGGAAATAAAGGTGTCTGTGAGTGTGGATCTGTGAACTGGAACTCCGTAAAGTCTGCCTGAGCAATTCTTGGAGAATTCTGGGAAGTGGATTCTAAAAAATCCAAATGGCACATACCTAGTTCACAATACTGGGCTAGATCAATCAAGGGTCTGACTTGGTATAATGCAGCTTCCTATGTACTAAGGCAGTACAATCTTGTAAACCAGTTTTCCTCAAACCGATGTTCTCCAAATGCCTTGGACTACAACTCTCACCATCTGCCAACAGCATGACCACTGGATATGCAAGATGGGAATTATAGTCCAATACCATGAGGAAAATTAATTTTCCCCAGCACAATGCCTTTGTTTACCGAACACCTTATCAGTGTCAACACTTGTTTGGGACACCTCCCTCCCTCAAAACCCGCAGCTTTATGGTTTGCCAAGCAAGTTTGGAGTAGTTAGACCAGTTCCCAGAAGAAATGGGCAAGCAGCCAATTACATTCTAGGAGCACCCTGAGCTGTGTGGCCTTTGTAGCACCAGATGAAACTGAGGAGGCCCATTTTATTACCTGACAGTTCCTCAGCTGGTAGTTTGAGGTACTGCCTTAGACTGGCCTGCAACTGTAAAATGGTAGCTGGCTCTCCTAGAGAACTAACATGGTGGCACCAAGAATAAGGCCCCATCAAAAGTGGAACTTCCATTAGGAGAGGTGAAAGAGCCAGCGTGGACATCTGCTCTGAGGTGTCATGAAAAGGAAGCACATTTTTAATTCTTTAAACTCACCACTGTTGTTGCACTTCTTATAGCAAGAGAGGGAAGAGTTCATGAGGTTGTCTGACTCCATGCACCATGACTTGAAAGAAAAGGCAGAGTCCCATTTCCTGCTCTGTCTCGGGCAGTAAAACATTTTGGACCAGCTTCATTGCATGCAACTGTGTAGAGTTAAGTTCCAAGGACTGCTGTTTTTGAGTAGTGAGGCAATTCGAAGACAAAGGGGAGCTGTGTAGAAAAGCTGTGGGCCAGTGTGGGGTAGGGTATGCATGGTATTTTCCACTTACTTATTTATTTAAAATATTTTTATCCCTCTTTTCTCCTTGAAAAAGAAAGTCAAATACGTGTAGCTAATTATTGTGGGAAGGCTTTCCTGAAGAGAAAGGGCTTTGCCTGCTTGCAGATGGGCAGCAAAGATGGGGCCAGCCTGGTCTCTGGTGGGAGGGAGTTCCAAAGTCTAGGTGCAGCAACAGAGAAGGCTCTCTCCCATGTCCCCACCAAATACACCTGTGAAGGTGGCGGGACCAAGAGAAAGGCTTCTCCTGATGATCTTAATACCCAAGCCAGCTCATAATGAGAGATATTTCTTTGAGATAGCTTGGACCTAGGCCATTTAGGGGTTTAGAGATTTAAACCAGCTCTTTAAATTGTGCCCAGAAGTGCTTTGGCAGCCAATGGAGCTGCTGTAATGGGTGGGTTATGTGATCCCTGTAACCAGCCCCATTCAGCAATCTGGCTGCTGCATTTTGGACCCACTGAAGTTTCCTGACATTTTCTATTGGCAGCCCCACATAGAACACATTACAGTAATCCAGCTGGGAAGTAACTAGGTCATGTGTCACAGTGGCCAGATCAGATCTCTCAAGAAATGGATGTAATTGGCACACCAAATTTAGTTGTGCAAATACACTCCTAGCCACTGCCAAGACCTGGGCATTCAGGCTCAGAGATGAGCGGCACCCTTGTTCTTAGTTGTGCAAATACACTCCTGGCCATTGCCAAGACCTGGGCATTCAGGCTGAGAGATGAGCGGCACCCTCGTTCTTTCAGTGGGAGTGTAATCCCATCCAGTACCTACCTTTCGACTGACCAGAAGCATTTCTGCCTTATCTGGATTAAATTTCAGTTTATTCACCTTCATCCAGTTCATTATGGATACTAAACACTTATCTAGAGCTGGAGCAGCTTCCCTGGATTTAGGTGGCAAAGAGAGTTAGGGCTGGGTGTCATTCACATACTGGTGACACCGAACTGCAAAACTCTGGATAGACTCTCCCAGCGGTTTCATGTAGATGTTAAATAACATACAGTAGGAGATAAAACAAAACCCTGAGGGACCCCACAGGTCAGTGGCCAAGGTGTCGAACATGAGTCCCCCAGCACCAACTTCTGAATTCACTCCTCCAGGAAGGACTGGAGCCACCATAAAACGGTGCCCACAAGTCCCATTCCAGAGAGATGGGTCAGGAGGAGACTGGGGTCAGTAGTATCAAAAGCTGCTGAGAGGTCCAGCAAAACCAACAGGGACACAGGTCCCCTATCCAGTTCCTTGCACATTTTCTATGCTGTATCACTTTTTGGATGCTTTCCCTTGACAGCAGAATTCTGGTCATATCTTCAAGGATAGACAGACACCTAGAATACTGTGGGGCCGTGAGGAATAGAAGGTGGGTGTGCAATATATAGTGGTGCAGTAGCCAATAGGAAGTGATAATCTGCCATATCATCTTTCAAAATTTGCCCTTCACAGTGCTCCAGTTTTATAGAGGGAGTGACCAGGTTGTGTCCAGTTGATTTCTAAGGTGCCAGAATCTTGTTATCAAATGCCTAGTTCAAAAGCTGTGGTGCAGCTGCCTCCCAGTTGACATTGGGATATATCTAAAATATATATATTTTAAAAAAGAATAAAGCTTTTGAATACGAAGGAAGAGTAGAGATCACTGACAACCAAACAAAACCTAGAACAAACTGATGCTTTAGCACAAAGTGTGGGAAGGGGAAAGAAAGAAAGAAAAATCCATGCTGTCAAAACATCAAGCAAGGAGGTTAATGGTGCCCTAAAGCATCAAGCTAAAGATCAGGAGAAGCTTTTCAGATTATGAATTTTGCTTTCAAAAAGAGATTTAGTTTGACGTTGTTGCCATGCAGATTAGTAAACCTAATACATGCACACTGGTTCACTTCTTTTAGAGGTGCATTATGATTTCTGAGCCACAGAGGATGCACATAAAGCATGTAATTGTTCCTTTTGAAATGCAAAATGAAAGTCATGTGACCACAATATTTATTTGTTGCTAAAGCTTTGCATTCTGTACTCTTTGGGGTTGGAGTGTGGAAAGGAAAAAAAACAATACTTGGAAATAAGAGCTGTATTAAGTCAAGTCACTTTTGAAGATGCCCAATAATGTTAGCTATTGTTTACATGTGTTCAACTCTTTCAGAGTGCTAGTTGCTTAGTATTTAGTCTGTACCAAGAAGAGGATGAAGGGAAAGAAAGGCAATAGTGAACAGGTTCAATCTGAGCGAACCCAGGACTATGAATTCCCCTGTCCTGTTTCACTTAAGGCTCAACCAAGGTAAACTGAATGAGAACAGGCAATTCATACCGATTTGTAATCTTACTGGTTTTGGAACAACATGTTCCTGAATCCCTCACCTAGCCTGGCCCTGTAACTCTGCTGTATATCATGATTTGGTATTAATGCTACATGATTCAGAGTTTGGAATGTTGTTTTGAATGAATAACACACTGGGTATTACACATTGCTTTTTGAAAATAATGTGCTATTTATTTTCAAGGATAATGCGTTAATTGCTACAGCATGTTTTTTTATTACTTTATCATCATTTTACAAAAAATATACTCTAAAAATAGAAAAACAAATCTAAATGCTTAGAAATGCCACAAAATGACTTCCACAAAATATTTTCAAATCAGAAATAAGCATTATTGGGTAGTGTGAAAAAACGCACACCCTTAACTGATGTTACCAGTGCTAATGGAATTTTGCACATCATGCCTTGTTCCTCAAAACAACAGGTAACATTACAACATTGCTTCCAAACGCTATTAACCTCCCTTTTATTGGGGAATTTGTTAATAAGAGAGGCTGCTACATTGCCAGATTGCTGGAATTTGGGGTGGTTAATGCCCACCCACCTGTTTGTCTTGCCTCCTTCCATGCCTGACACTATACATTTTTGAAAATGCACAGTCATGGCCTCTATTGAATAATACCAGAAACAGTAGCTTTCACAGGGTACTGAGAATCATTTGTCAAAAAATCTATAAACCCTTCTCTATGCAGTTCCCACAATTCCTTGGTTGAGAAATACAATCATTAAAACCCCCCA